AGGCCTATCAATTTCATATCGCTGGAATATGTCCCCCTCTCTCTTTTGATACTGCCACCACTCTAGTTCAGGCCCTCATCACCACATGCCTGTACTATTACAAAAGCCTGTTGGTGGGTCTGCCTGCCTTAAATCTCTCTCTACCTCAAAACATCCTTCATTTAACCACCAAGATAATTTTCTTAAGATCAATTTGTAACATGTCATGCCCCTACTCCAGTGGCTCCCTATTGCCTCCAGAATCAAATGCAAAATGCTCTGCTTGGCATTTAAAACCCTTCATAACCTAAACTCCTCCTCCTCCCTTCTCAGTCTTCTTTTTATATATATGTAAATTTGTTTATTTTTAGTTTTCAACATTCACTTCCACAAGTTTTTGAGTTCCAAATTTTCACCCCATCTCACCCCTCCCCCCACCCCAAGGTGGCATGCATTCTGAATATCCTTCCCCTAGTCTGTCCTCTCTTCTATCTCTCCCCCTTCTCTTATCCCCTTCCCCTTCTATTTTCCTGTAGGGCAGATAGACTTCTGTACCCCATTTCCTGTATTCTTATTTCCCAGTAGTAGCATGTGAAAAACATTTTTTTAAACATGATTTTAAAACTTTAGGTTTCAAATTTTCTCTCTTCCTCCCTCCCCACCCACCCTCATTGAAAAGGCAAGCAACTCAATATAGGTTGTACATGTACATGTACAGTTATGTGAAAAACTAACTCTATTTCCCTTAATCCTATCCTGCCTTCCCATTTATTCTATTCTTTCTTTTGACCCTGTCCCTCCTCAGAAGTATTTGCTTCTGATTACCCCCTTTCCCAGTCTGCCCTCCTCTCTATCATCCCCCTGCTCTCTTGTCCCCTTCTCCCCCTATTTTCCTGTAGGGTAAGACAGATTTCCATACCCAGTTGAATGTGTATGTTATTCCCTCCTTAAGCCAAATCCTATGAGAATAAGATTCACTCATTCCCTCTCACCTTCCTCCATTTCCCCTACACTGTAAGAGACTTTTCTTTTCTGTTTTTTTGTGAGATAATTTACCCCATTCTACTTCTCCCTTTCTTCTTCTCCGAGTATAATCCTCTCTCATCCCTTAATTTTATTCTCCAGATATGACCCCTTAATCTTAACTCACCCTGTTCCCTCTATCAATCTATCTATATATACATACCTATAATTTTTTTCCTCCAACTACCCTAATACTGACAAAGGTCTCATGAGTTATAAATATCATCTTTCCATGCAGGAATGTAAACAGTTCAACCTTAATAAGTCTCTTATGATTTCTCTTTCCTGTTTACCTCTTAGTGTTCCACTTGAGTCTTGTATTTGAAAGTCAAATTTTCTTTCCAGCTCTGGTCTTTTCATCAAGAATGCTTGAAAGTCCTCTATTTCACTGAATGCCCATTTTTTCCCCTGAAGGATTATACTCAGTTTTGCTGGGTAGGTGATTCTTGGTTGTAATCCTATCTCCTTTGCCCTCTGGAATATTATATTCCATGCCCTGTGGTCCTTTAATGTAGAAGCTGCTAAATGTTGTGTTATCCTGATTGTGTTTCCACAGTACTTGAACTGTTTCCTTCTGGCAGCTTGTAATATTTTCTCCTTGACCTGGGAACTCTGGAATTTTGCTACAATATTCCTAGGAGTTTTCCTTTGGGGATCTCTTTCAGGAGGTAATCAGTGAATTCTTTCAATTTCTATTTTGCCCTCTGGATCTACTATATCAGGGCAGTTTTCCTTGATAATTTCTTAAAAGATGATGCCTAGGCTCTTTTTTTGATCATGGCTTTCAGATAGTCCAATAATTTTTAAATTCTCTCTCCTGGATCTATTTTCCAGGTCAGTTGTTTTTTCCAATGAGATATTTCACATTGTTTTCTAATTTTTCATTCTTTTGGATTTGTTTTACAGTGTCTTGATTTCTCATAAAGTCACTGTCTTCCAATTGCTGTATTCTAATTTTTAAGGAAGTATTTTCTTCAGTAATCTTTTGGACTTCCTTTTCCATTTGGCCAATTTTGCTTTTTAGGGCATTTTTCTTCTCATTGGCTTTTTGGACCTCTTTTGCCATTTGGGTTAGGCTATTTTTTAAGGTGTTATTTTCTTCAGTATTTTTTTGGGTCTCCTTTAGCAAGCTGTTGACTTGTTTTTCATGATTTTCTTGCATCACTCTCATTTCTCTTCCCAGTTTTTCCTCTACTTCCCTTACTTGCTTCTTAAAATCCCTTTTGAGCTCTTCCAAGGCCTGGGACTGATTCATATTTTTCTTGGAGGCTTTGGATGTAGGAGCTTTGACTTTGTTGTCTTTTTCTGGTTGTATATTTTGATCTTCTTTTTCACCAAAGTAAGATAATATAGTCTGACTCTTTTTGCACTGCTTGCTCATGATACCAGTCAATTACTTGAGTTTTAAACTCCTTGTTAAGGTAAGAGTCTGCTTCCAATGTGGAGAATGTACTGTCCCAAGCTTCAGGGGTTTGTACAGCTGGTTTCAGAGACACTTTTAGGGACCTGTAAATGTTCAGTTCTTGCAAGGTGGTATGATAAGGGGCAAGGTGTTTACTCCTTTCCTGGCCTGAGACCACAAGTACTCCTTTCTGTCCTGTAACTGTGAGCAGGGGTTCCTCTCCACAGCCACTGTAAGCTCCACCATGCCAGCGTTCCTCCTCACCTCAGGCCCGCTGCCCAGAACTGTGACCCAGATCCAAGCGCGGGCAAAGCAAGAGATTCCTGCTTCAGCACTGGCAAAGAGATCTCTGCAGTCCCTCTCCAATCAGCGACTGGATTACCCCTCAGTCTGTGGGCTGGAAGCTGGGGAAGCAGCTGCCCCCCCCCCAGAGCACGCTCTTTGGGAATGAAGCTGAGACCCCGCCCTCCTGTCTCAGCGCAACAGAAACAGACTTTTCCCACTGACCTTCTAAGTTGTCTTTGGTATTCATGGATTGAGGAGTCTGGAAACCTCCACAGCTGCCCGAGATTCAGTCCTCTGAGGCCTGCTCCAGATTCCCTGTGGCCTGCACGCCCATGCCACGGGGCGCTGCGCTCCCAGCCCGGCGTGATACACCTTTCTCATCAATCATCCAGGTTGTCTTGGGCTGGAAATTTGTTTCACTCTGTCTTTTTGTGGGTTCTGCTGCTTCAGAATTTGTTTAGAGCCATTTTTTATGAGTGTTTGGAGGGGTTTGGGGGAGAGCTCAAGCAAGTCACTGCTTTCACTCAGCCATCTTGGCTACACCCCCCTTCTCAGTCTTCTTAAACCTTACTCTCAGACACATACTCTTTGATACAATGACTGGGCCTCCTGGCTGTTCCATGAACAAAACATTCCATCTTCCAGTTCCTGATATTTTCTGTGGCTGTTCCCCATGCTTTGAATTCTCTCCCTCCTCATCTCTGTTTCCTAGTTTCCTTGGATTCCTTCAAGTCTCAACTAAAATCCTCTCTTCTATAACACACCTTTCCCAGCCCTCTTAATTCTAGTGCCTTCCCACTATTAATTATTTACTTTTTATCATACATATTTGCTTGTTGTCCCCCCAATTAGACTGTGAGCTCCTTGAGGGCGGGTACTGTCTTTAGCCTCTTTTTGTAAGCATCAGTTCCTGGGTTTCTGTTTTTTGTTTTGTTGACTTTCTTTTGTATCTAGAATGTCTTAGACCATGAAAATAGCTAAAATCACTTTATCTTTGGCACATAATTTCTGTTTTGGAGAGATTTGAGAGCTCACAAGGATCATAGGAAATCTCTAGTCTGCCATCTTGTTGCCCACCTGACCCAGAAACCCAAATGAGATAACATTTGAAATGTGTTTAACACAGCATCTGGCACATAGTAAATAGCTATTATTATTGTTACTATTGCCATCATCATCATCATCATCCTCCTCCTCCTCCTCCTCATCATCATCCATTGGGTAATGAGTCATTGTGGATAACATGCTGAACTTGGATTCAGGAAGACCTGGATTCAAATCTGGTCTCTGGAATTTACTAGCTCTAAGACCATAAGTGAGTCACTTAATCTGTCTAAGCCTCAGTTTCCTCTTCTGTAAAATGGAAGAGTTACATTAGATTACCTCTAAAGTTCCTTATAGTTCTAAGTTAATGATCCTATGATATCTTGGATATAAAACTCTTTTCAAAGATATTAGTTGTAAAGATTATTTTCCCAGTCAAGAGTTACCCTTCTTTTCCTAGCTGAATTGATTTTGTTTGTGCAAAAACTCTTCAATTTCTTTTTTGGTTTCTGTTCCTTGTTTGGTTAATATTTCTCTTATTAGCTAAAGATGTGAATAGTACCTCCAACCATTTCTTAATGCATCTGAGTATCCACTAGGAACTCTATCATGGGATCCATGATGTAAGATAATGGATCTAAACCAATTTTTGTCAAACTGCTTCCCAATTTTCCCATACTTTTTGTCAAGTAAACATGAAAATTTGATAAAAAAGAAATCAGCCTTATTGAAAATCTAAAACTACATATATAAAAACATGGGGAAAAACAGTTATTTAATTGTTTCCTAGAAAGCAAGGTGTGCTTAGTGCTACAAACTTTGAGGAAGTATAGTTGAGGAAGAAAAGTTGACCCTAAAAAAGACCAAAGTCTTACTGACTAAGCAGATTGATATAACATGTTAATCTCCCTCATCATATTATTGACATGTTGTTCTAATTGAAGACCATGGACTTTTCATGCACTTTTGCAATGTTATGTAAAATAGTTATCTGTTTATTTTCCCCCTAGAATACAAGCTTGAGAAGGGCAGAGATTCTGCCTTATCTTAACTTTATTTTTCTGAAAGCAGCAGGTGCTTAATAGATATTTGTTGATTCAATAATTGAATAAATAAAATTCTAATCTTGATCTAGAATTACAGTTCTGAAAGGCAAGAGAAGTTTTTGATTTGTATATACTTTTTAAATATTGTATAGAAATTAAATCTGAATCCCTTCATTTTGAGTCATTACAATAAAAAATGATTGTTTTTTATTTCATGGCAGAATCCTGTAATAGATAAAAGTGGTGAAACAACTTTAGAAACAAAGTCTGTGGTGCCTGATGAAGACGATGCTTCATTTCCTCCTCTTAAGTCTGAAGACAGTGGTATTGGCCTAAGTGCTTCATCCCCAGAGCTCTCTCTGCACTTAGGCATCCCTAGGATTTCTCCAGAAAAGGATGATGTCTGGAAAAGGAATGGGAGCATGCAGAAAACCTTGCACTCCATTCAGGAACTGGTTACTATCTTTACCAATAAGCATATTTTTGGGGTGCAGCTACCTGAACATGGAGAGGAAAATCAATCAACGGTCACTACGAACACAAGAGACAAAGATGAAGCAAGTGGCACGATTGTTGAAAACTCAGGCAAGAAGAGAAACTCTCGGGACATCAAAACAATCACCGTGCCCCAGTTTAAACAGATGCTTTCAGATCTGTTTACAGTCCGAGGGTCTCCAACTAAGCCAAAAACTCTGAGGTTTCCCTTTTCTTCAACCCATAGCATTGGCAATAAAAAGGAAAAAGAGGATGAGGAGTGGTATATTTACAAGGTGATTATTGACTTAGGAGATTTGAGCAAGGATTGCCGGGAAGCCTTTGCTGCTGCTTGTCATTTTCTGCTGGACTGTTCCACCTTCCCCGTCTACCTTTCTCAGGAAGAAACAGAGCAACTCTATACATCTCTTTTCCAGGCACCTGGTAAGAAGGATAAAATAATTTATAGAAATAAGTTCACTATTGAATAACTAAACTTTTGTTAGAATTTAAAGGTTTAAAAAATGTTTTACATATTTTATCTCATCTGATCCTCTCCTGTGAGGCAGATTCTGGGAGGGGGTGTTTGTTTTTGGGGTTTTTTTGGCTAGGCAATAGGGTTAAGTGACTTGCCCAGGGTCACACAGCTAGTAAGTGTCAAGTGTGCGAGGCTGGATTTGAACTCAGGTCCTCCTGACTCCAGGGCTAGTGCTCTATCCACTGTGCCACCTAGCTGCCCCTAGGTTCTGTTATTAACTTTTACTTTATAGATAAGGAAACTGAGATTGAGTGAGGTTAAGTTAATTGCTCAAGGTCAGTCAGTCAATATATATTTATTAAGCACCGTGCTATGTGCCAGGCACTGTGTTGAGCAATGAAGACACAAAAAGAGGCAAAAGATAGTGCTTGCCCTCAAGGAGCTCACAATCTAATGGGGGAGGCAATAAGTAGATGTGTACACACAAGCTGTATACAAGATAAATAGAAAATCATTAAAAGACAGAAGGCGCTAGAATTAAGAGGAGTTGGGAAAGGCTTCCTGTAGAAGATGAGATTTTAGTTGGAGCATGAAGGAAATTGGAACCAGATAAGGGGGGAAAGCGGTCCAGACATGGGGAACAGTTGGAGAAAATGTCCAGAGCTGAGAAATGAAGTGTCCTGTTCTTGGAACAGCAAAGGGACCAGTGTTGCTGGGTTAAAGAATACATGGCAGAGAGCAAAGTGTAAGAAGACTGGAAAGTTAGGAAGGTTCTAGGTTATAAAGGGTTTTAAATGCCGAGCAGAGCATTTTGTATTTGATCCTGGAGGCAATAGGGAGTCACTGGAGTTTGAGCAGGGAGTTGACATGGTCCAACTTGAGCTTTAGGGAAATCATTTTGTTGGCTGAATGAAGAATAACTTGGAGTACAAAGAGATTTGAGACAGGCAGACCCATGAGCAAGCTGTTGCAGTAGTCCAGGTGTGATATGATAAGTATCTGCAAAAGAATGGTGGCAGTATCAGAGGAGAGAAGGGGTCTATTCCAGAGATGTTGCAAAGGTGAAATTGAGAGGTTTTGGAAACTGATTCAATATGGAAATGAGAGTGAGAGATATTGAAGAGCTGAGTTTGACACCTAGATTTTGAGCCTGAGAGATCAGGACAATGGTGTTGCCCTTGACATTAACAGAGAAGATAGGAGCAGCAGGGAAAGGCTTTTTTTATTTTTAGGCAATTGGGGTTAAGTGACTTGCCCAGGGTCACACAGCTAGTAAGTGTCAAGTGTTTGGTCTGAGACCGGATTTGAACTCAGGTCCTCCTGACTTCAGGGCCAGTGTTCTATCCACTGCACCATAGCTGCCCCTTAGGGAGAGGCTGTAGGAGGAAAGATAACGAGTTTAGTTTTGGACTTGTTAAGTTTACGATGTCCACTGAACCTACAATTCAATATATCTGAAAGGCAATTAGAGATGCAAGATTAGAAGTCAGCAGAGAAGTTAGAACAGAATGACTAGATTGGAGAATCATTAGGATAAAGACTGTAATTAAATTAATGAAATCTCATGAGATCAAGTAAAATAGTATAGAGGAAGAAGAGAAAATGGCTCAGTAAAGAGCCCTGAAATGTTTAGAGGTAGAGAATGGAATCTGGAAGAGGAGCCAGCAAAGTATGTGAGCAGCCTGAAGAGAACCAAGAAGGAGTGGTGTCCTGAGAGAAGAAAGTGTCAGGGAGAAGAGTGTTAAAGGCTGCGAAGAGGTCGAGGAAAATAAGTTTTGACAAAAGGCAATTGATTTAAGTAATTAAAAGATCATTTACAATGGTAGAGAGAGTAGTTTAGGGGAAATGAGGAGATCAGAAGCCAAATGGTAAGGTATTTGAAGGAAAAGAGTGAGAGAAAGTGTTTCTTAGCTGAGAAGGTAGGGAGAGAGATGCAAAGGTTTGGAAGAATGGCTATGGAGAGTGGGACAGTAAGTTGATGAGAGAAGTATAGAAGTTCACAGAACAAATCCCCTTAATAAAAGGATTTGTTCTGTAAAACTTGGACTCAGTCAAAGGGCCATACTTGAGGATGTAGAGTGCCACATGTGGCCTCAGGGCCACATGTGGCCTCAAGGCCACAGGTTCCCCACACCTGATTTAGCTAGTACTGGAAAAGGGTGGCCAGGAAGGCTGTGTCATTCAGGGGTGGGGAGAGCCAGGTTTCATTGATAGCTAGAAGATGGAAAGCAAGAGAAAAGAAAAGATTTAAGATGAAGGGAAATTTGTTGCCAATGGAAGAAGCCTTCCAGAGGACAAAGTGGAAGGGGTGTGTAGGTGGTGATAAAAAGTGTCATAAATAGGATTTGGATCAAGGCCTTCTTGACTTCCAAGTTTAACACTCTATCCCCTAAAGTGACTCTTGTTCTGCTGTCACTTTTTTTCTTTTTGTGAGTTTTTCAGGGAAAAGGAAGCTTTTGAACCATTTTTTAGTGATTAGAGCTAGAAGAAACCTTAGCAGGCATCTAGTGTAACCTTTTCATTTTACAGATAAGGAACTAAAGCCCAGAGTGATTAAGTGATTTGCCCAACATAACATGGATGTGAGCTGATTCCGGTGCTACTCCTGATCCTCAATAGCCAAAAAATACTAATGTGAATCTAATTATAAAGAATTGCATTTAGTATTAAGTTTTCTATTTTTTTTCCTCAGTAGCTGTGATAAGTAGTGAAAAGGCAATTAAATGTAATTGCATGATCAAATAATAGTAGTCCATATTTATATAGTCTTTATGATATATAATACTTCCCTCACAACAATTTTTTGAAGCAAATAGCACAAATATTGTTTTCTCCATTATACGCATGAGGAAATTAAAGCTCAGAGAGGTTGCTACCTTCAAAGAACTAATTAGAATCAGAATATAGTAAAATGTTGCGAGCATAATTGAAAGTGATATCTTCAGACAGCAAGTTCAGGATTCTTTCAGATATATCATGGTGCTTCTTATAATCCTAGAGAGTCACAGAGTTTCTGAGTTTTGTAGATTTTTGTATGCTATGACAGGATTTTGGTTTTGTTTTGGGGATAACGGTGTATGTATATACACACACACACACACACACGCATATATACATACACATACACATGCAATGTGAATATATAATGCATATAATGTGTATGCACACGCACACACATATATGTATATGTATGTATATGTATATGTATATGTATATGTATATGTATATGTATATGTATATGTATATGTATATGTATATGTATATGTATATGTATATGTATATGTATATGTATATGTATATATGATTTCACTGCTATAGGGAGCCCCTGGTGTGAAAATTCCCTCTATCAGGGCAGTTTTACAGTCCTCTAACTTAGAATCTTAGAGGCACCAAGAGCTTAAGCAACTTGACCACAGTTATATAGTCATTAAGAATCAGAATCAGACTTAAAATGTCTTGATTCTCTAAGGCCAACTTCCTATCCACTATGCCATGCTGCAGAGGAAAACATTTACGTGTAACACATCTACATTCTTTGAACACAGGGTATATAATGCAGATTGTTATCCTCTAGTGGTATCAAATCTACTGAACAAATAAACTTTCAGAGTAGCATCTTAACTATCTCTAGGCTTTGAATATTTATTTGCCTGATAGTTTTAAGCTGCTATGAAATCCAAAAAATTTAATTTGTTTTTGTTTTTGTTTTTGTCTTCTTTATGTTGTCTTCCTTTTGTGGAGAATGTGATTCTAGCTTCCCGTTGTGGCTTAAATCTCTCATGACTATCTGCTGCTGTGTAAATGACTGCCATATTCAGAATGTGTCCATCTTCACACTGCTTGAGATGATACACCATTCTCAGTCACTGGCACTTATGTGTGAAGACAGGATGAAACGGAGTAAAATCTCTGAACATAACCCGTTTTTTGGAAAGTTACAGATGGTAACAGTTCCTCCCATTGTTCCAGGAGTATTAAAAGTCATTGCAAAGAAAACAGACTTCTATCAGGTATATTTCAATTTGGGTGTACCTTGGAATGTGGGTAAAGAATTTTTCCAACCTGTTCATTCAAAGAAATTTGGTGTTGTTGTGAAAACAGTATCATTCATGAAGTGAATTCAAACTGTGATCAGAATTTTGCAACTGAAGATTTTTTAAAAAGATTGAGATTTCATTAGGAAGGTGAGGCTATGCATACCAAAGGTCACATAAAGCTATCAGACAGAATCACTGTGTTTGTTGGTATTGTTTAAATGTTTTTCTTTTTTTGCAAGAGAGGGCTTATTTGGTTTTTGGAGGAGTAATATCCAGAAATTATTGTGATAGAAAAACAAGAGGAATCCATGAAACTTTTAAAAATAATAATAAAATAATGTGTGATTTTGAAGAAAGTTTAAAGGAACTGAAATTATTTAGCTTGAAAGGTAAGCTGAGGTTTATTAGTTAGCATACTTAAAGTTTATTATACAAAGGACAATTTTCTATTTCTTTGTTCTCTTTTTTTTCCTGAGGAACTAAAAAGAGAAAAAAGCTTCAAGCTACAACATTAAAGAATTTGAGTTTGACCTAAAGAACAATTTAACAAACGAATTTTTAAAACACAGGAATGAATCATCAAGATTATGAGATCCCTTTCTTTTAAAGTTTTTTTTAAGAGTAAAGTTTCATCTGTTTCAGATAATTCTTCCTAAAGCCAAAGTGGGGTGAAGTGGTGAAGGTATGGATTATATTGCTTTGAAAAGTCCTTTAAAGTCTGTGATTCCCTGAGCCCTATCATGCCAACTGATCTCTCCATCTGTTATCTTACCCACCTTTTTCTGACCATAAATTTCTTGGATAAATTTCTTTTACTCTACTTCTTGCATATAAATTTTAGGTTTGGATAAAAATCTTTTAGAATGGAATTGAGATGTTAAGACTTTGGGTACATAGGAGTTTTCAATAGAAAAATAGTGTTGAAACAAATATCATAAATGTGCTACTTTCCCAAATATTCTCTTTATAGGAATCTTGGTCCTAAAGCCATCCAAGGAAAAAATGAAACTTGGACCTAAATGTTATAGGTAAACAGTATGTCCTGATTTACTGAAAGCTGCATCATGGAAATAAACTTCACCTTATGACTATGATTTAGAGAACTTGAAAGTGATAACTAAAACACATAGAATAAGGTGATAATGTAAGAGAATAAAAGGGTTCTTTGCATTCTTAGGGGTCATGTTCAGAGATAGATGGATAAATATTTGTTACAAGAGATTTCATTTTCTTTTTTAATTGGAAGAGGGAAAGAAAATAGATTTTTGTTCATTGAAAAATTTTAATGTGAAAAACACACAATATTGTATTGGTACCTGCAAAGATGAGCAGAATTTGAGTTTGTGGAGTGGAGTGAGTGCTGACTCATCATGTCACACTGAGTGATGAAGAAAATTTTACTACATGTTTACTTCATAAAGTGTTCAAGTTGATCTCAATCCTGGGGACATGACTACAGGCACTAGAGGTGGCAAGATAGAATGCAAATTTTCCTGGTTATGTTCTACTTTATGTTTCCTCATTGCCCTTTGGGTGAGTCTCAATTTTTATCACCTGTGACACTATTTCTTCTTGATTCACAGGCATATGGTTTCACCTAAAATATTGGCATTTAATAGATGCCTTTGGACATCATGGAAAGCACAATGCAATTTCTCATATCTATTCAGCCAGCTTGCTTTCTTATTCATTTCCCATCTCTTTCTTTTCAAACATTTTTCTGATGATAACCTTTATACTACTTCAGTGTAAGTTGTTATTCCATATGATAGCCTGCTTGCACCTCCGCCATTGCTCCTTGGGTGATACTCAATTTAAATTCTTTGGAGACTAGAGGGTTTCATGACCTGCAGAATTCGATGTTAAAAAGACGGTGTTTTGTTTTATCAAAGTGCCTAACACATAATAGGCACTTAAAAATGTATGTTGATTGATTTCAAGGAGAATCTTGGGGTGATTGGAAGAACTGCACAATTTCCCATTGACAATCTCACCCTCCTTGGCTCTTCTTTATTCACTTCAGGGGCCAGCTTAGTATGCATTTGCGGTATCTGTCCAAGATGTGCATACTGAGAGGTGAGAGCTGTGGGCTGTCCATCCTGCTATGTGTAATAGTCTCAAAATAGACAATGTTCATACACTAGGTTCTTTCTATGTAGACATTAGGCTAAACTCATTTAGGAGATCCTCTGAAGGCTACACAATGTCATCCATTTCCTCTCCTCAGTCTTAACCCTTCCTATAGTGCCTTCTGACCTCATCATTCAATTGAAACTGCTCTCTCAAAAGTACCAGTGATGTCTTAATTCCCGTTTCTAATGGTGTCTTCTTGATTTTCATCCTCCTTGACCTCTCTACATCATTTGACCCTGCAGACTACCTTCTTTTGTATGCTGTCTCATCTCTTGGTTTTTGTGGCTTTCCTCCAACCTGTTTGACTACTCCTTTGTAGACTCTTTTACCATATCTTCTACCATGTCATACCCACTAAATGTGGGTATCACCCAAAGTTCTGTTTTGGGCCATCCCCCTTTTCTCTCTATGTTCTTTTACTCGTTGATCTTATCAGCTTCCATGGATTCAGTTGCCATCCCTATGCAAATGATTCCCAGATCTATTTATCCAACCCAAGTCTCCCTCCTGAGTTCTAATCCCATACCACCAATTTCCTGATGGACTTTAGGAACTGGATATCCCAGAGTCATCTCAAATTCAATATGTCCAAAACAATACTCATTATTTTTACCACCCCCCAACTCTCCCCTTTTCTGAATGTTACTGTCAAGGACCATCATTCATAACCTCAATGTCATCCTTAACTCCTCTGTCCTGCTCACCCTGCAGATCCAGCCAGTTGCCAGATCTTGTCATTTCTATCTTTATAATATCTTTCATAAAAATCCCCATGTCTCACTTGGACAATTGCAATAGCCTTCTGTTTGACATCACTGTGTCAGCATAGGCTGGACAACATCACACACACATGCCCCACCCTTCCTGCCCCTCAATAAACTCCACTGGCTTTTGTTACCTCTAAGATAAATAAGGAATCCTTTGTTTGGCACTTCAAGCTCTTTACAACCTGGCCTCTTTAGACCTTTGCTATTCTGTTATGCGCTATTCCCCTCCACTCACTCTACAGTACAGCCATACTGACTTGCTTGCTGCCTCTTGTACACGATACTCTATCTCTGTTACTGTGCCTTTTTACTGACTCTCCCCTATAGCTGGAATTTCTCACTCCCAACCTCCAATTCTTAAAATGGCCAGAGCTCCTTTAAGACTCAGTGGAGGATTTCCACTTCTGGGAGCCAAGATGGCGGAGTCAAAAGGTAGCTGCTCTCACTCTCCCCTATCAACCTCTGAAAACCTAGAAAATATCACCCCAGAAAAAAACCCTGGAACAGCTGAGCTAGAAGAAAGATGGGGAGCAGCAGTGCAGCAGCCCAGCAAATGGGTCTCCCAGTGCCTCAGCAAAAATAAGGGAAGCAGAACTACAAGGGGCCCCAGGCAGAGAAGTAACCTGCAGCATTCGGAAAGGAGGTGAAGAAAACAACCTAAAGGCTTCCTAAAGCCCGCCTTGCTGATTCCAACCCAACACCAGGTGAGCTGTCGGAGCCCTGCAGCCTCTAATTGTGAAGAAATCCTGAGGCACAGGTGGTAGAATAGGCAAACACCAACACCTGGACATCCGAGTGCCTCAGTGAGGGGGGGGGTGGGACAACTGGTGGAAACCAGCTCAGAAAACCACCAGGTGTCTCACAAAGGAATCTCCCAGTGCATTAGCAGAAAGAGGGAGACAACACTGCAGGGGCCCCAGGCAGATAAACACCCTGCAGCACCCATCTAAAAGGAGTTGAAGAAAGCTAAAGGAAAGGAAAAACAGGCAACCTAGAATTGCCTGAAAGTTCCAGCCTTGCTGATTCCAGTCCAACACGAGGTAAGCTGCCAGAAACCTACAGCCTCCAATTGCCAGCATAAGAGGCCCCAGCACACAAAGCCAGTGACCAAGACCTAGGCTCCCAACACAAGAAGCTTGGGTCAGTACCCTCTGTTCCCCAGCAGGAGAGCTCAATCTCTTTAAAGGCCAGGGAATAAAGAAACACCATGAGTAAAAAGAAACATACCATAGATTCATATTATGAGAAGAGTGAAGATCAAGACAGAAATTCTGAAGAGGACAACATTGTCAACAAACCCACATCTGCAACAACAAAAGGGAATATGAACTGGTCTGAAGCCCAAAAAGCCTTCTTAGAAGAGCTCAAGAAGGATTTTAATAGTCAAATGAGAGAGGTAGAAGAGTCCTTCAAAAATACAATTGGCCGAAAAAAAATACACTGAAGAAAACAAGTCCCTAAAAAACACAATTGGCCAATTGAAGAAGGAAGGACAAAAACTAACAGAAGAGTACACTGAAGAAAAACAAGTCCCTAAAAAACACAATTGGCCATTGAAGAAGGAAGTACAAAAACTAACAGAAGAAAACAATCTGTTAAAAACTAGAATTGGACAAATGGAAACTAATGTCTCTATGAGAGAGCAAGAATCAGTCAAACAGAAACAAAAAAATGAAAAAATAGATGAAAATGTAAAATACCTCATCAGTAAAACAACCGACCTGGAAAATCGACTCAGGAGAGACAATTTAAAAATTATTGGACTACCTGAAAATCATGATGAAAAAAAGAGCCTGGACAGTATCTTTCAGGAAATCATAAAGGAAAACTGCCCAGAAGTCCTAGAACCAGAAGGGAAAATAACCATAGAAAGAATCCACCATCACCACCTGAAAGAGATCCCAAATTGACAACCAAGGAATATAATAGCAAAATTCCAAAATTACCAGATGAAAGAGAAGGTGCTGCAAGCAGCCAGAAAGAAACAATTTAAATATCATGGAACCACAGTCAGGATTACACAGGACCTTGCAGCTTCTACATTAAAAGACCACAGGGCATGGAACATGATAT